GCTGCAGCACGGAGTCCGTCAACTGAGAGTTGGCAAGACTGGCTGATCTGGCTCAGCTGCTGCTTCCGGAGCCCTCGATGTTTCAAACAACATCGGTGCAGGCCACGTTTTTTGGCACCGACGATTTGTTCGTTCACCAACAGTCGAAATAAATGTTTCTCACTTGCACAACCCGTAGAGCTGCCGCTGTTGCGCCAAGACCCATTGGCGCATGGTGTGTATACCCCAAATCTACATGATTGTATGATGATGGGTCACTGCTGACGTTTCTGCTCTTGGACAGTGCAACGCTGCATGAAGATATGTTGTGGCTCCACAATCGCTGAGAACGCTAGTGTGCGTCCATGGAATACTAAAACACAATAGGCGCAGCTAACGCCCACTTGGATGAATCGGACGACAGTGGTGGCGAGTGCATTCTCCTTCCTCGGTGAACACTGCTGGTCACCCTGGTTGATGATCCACCAAACACCACCCGTGCAGGCCGCGTTTTTCGGAACCAGCCATTTGTTCGTTCACCAACAATTGAAATTAATGTTTCTCACTTGAACACTCTGTAGAGCTGTCGCTGTCGTGACAAGGCCGTGTATACTCCAAATCTACATGTAGGATGAAGAATAACTGCTACTGCTGATAATGAAGTTTGCGCTCATGGACAATACAACGCTGTATGAAGTAAATTGCAGCTAACGCCCAACGTGGATGAAACGGACAACAGCAGCGGCTAGAGCGTTCTCCTTCCTCGGTGAACACTGCTACAAGACATTATGCTTGATGATTCACCAAACACCATAGTTTTGCGGCACCAGCGAGTTGTTCGTCCAGCAACTAACTTTGAGTCTTTCTTCAACACTTCGTAGAGCAGCCGCGCAAGGCCTTTCCTTCGCGTTAGGGTAGCGATCCTTCCTAGATGATATCGCTATTCATTGTTACTTTTTACTACAATGAGTAGTGTTTCTCCGAAAATAAAGTCAGCTGCCATTAGGCATTTGTACTGCCTAGGCCTAGGCCTAGCGCCTGGACTTATAAAAATCAATTAATTATTTTGCAGTCTTCAAAGCTCAAACATGTTTGCATGTACGCGCTATCCAGCCATGTACATATGATGTGGCGTGAACAGATTGCTTGACATGACGTGAAAGGTAGCGAGTCGTACGCGCTCGCGGACGTGTCTGACAATTGAAACGCAAAGATTTTTTTGGCGGGTAGTCGGCAAAAATTTAGTGACGGTCCTTTTAGTCCTGCGCATTTTATACATGTAGATTAGACGTTTACCCATTTCCACTAAATCGCACATATGTAGTTATACATGTGTGCTTATACATGTACATGTAAGTAGTTCGAATCTTGGCCATATTAAGCATCAATTGCTGGGAAATAGGGATTTTGAAAAGGAACATACAAGTATATGTACATGTAACTCCTGTTGCTTTACTATACTCAAGTAGTAATGACACAAGCCATGCAAGGGATTTGGAAGCCCAAGTAATGAAGTACATGTATGCAAATAGAGCGAAAAGGCAACAATGGATAAAGGCAATCTCCCAACTCTGAGTCTCATGCGCGTTCCCCAATCTTCCGGCATTACATACATGTACATTGCACATTGTACATGAGCACACGAGTCACAGAGTACAGTTGTCTGAAGATTGCCATCTGACATGAAACTATTAGTTACATGTACAACAAACCAGACTCAGCGTGGTGTACATGTCCAATCACACCACTGGTGTGTTCCACGCATGCAGTGCTGCATCGTGAATACGCCAGCTATCAGAAGCGACTTGCTTGTCGCCTAGCCCGCAAATCATGGCTTGGGTGCGAATTCGTACCCAATTCGCAGTGTTCCATGCAGTCGACCTCCTGCTACGTGGGTCCAGAAGGCGCCTGACAGGCCTGTCGACGCAGCATACTGCTGGGGTAGGTACATGTAGGCATGGGCCATTGAGAACTGAATTTCGTTCGTTTTACGTGGAATTTCGTGGAGTTTTCCAACGTATTGTACTGGAATAATATTCTATTTTACTTTTCATGGTATCTCCTTTCTCCTATTTTTTCACATCTACATTGTACATGTACATGACATTATCTTGCCCTTAAAAGAGGCCATTACCCCGAAAAGAACATGTACTTGACTACATATACATGTACATGTAGTCAAGTACATGTACATGTACATGGGGAAGTGGTCCCGGTGTGGTCCCGGAGTTGCAACGGATTGACGATTGTGTTTTCTTGGTGAGGACCGCTTCCATTGTGTATATTTATATGTACATAATCCAGTATAGTCCTCACCAAGTACACATTCTTTCTGTTGGTACTCAGAGTTTCTTGAACAATCAATCATCAGGCAACAAACAACGATTGATGATTGATTGTTCAAGAAACTCTGAGTAGCAACAGAAAGAATGTGTACTTGGTGAGGACTATACTGGATTGTGAATCAGCTCCAGTGCTTTTGCAGCACTGTCGAGCACTCTTCGCGTTGACAGGGATCTCCTCCTCTCTTTATATGTACATATATACTTCAGTGCTCGAATGGGAAAGGTTTCATGCATGCTTATGATAATCAGGTGTGTGGCTTACCGTAGCCACGGAAATGCATGGGTACATGCATGGGTACATGTACAAGTACAATGTACAATAATTATCATATACATGTACATGTACATGTATACCGCGCATAAGGTGTATTTTACTGTCTTATAGGTGGGCATATATGTATGTGCATACACATGTACTTGATGTGTAGGTGCTCTGTTCCTAGGGTTCATGTACATGTACATTGTACGTGCATCAGTTTCAGGCAGAATAAATTTCTGCACTCGACAAAATTTTAATGTAAAAACAACGTACATGTATGTCTGATGATACACAAGAGAGAGAGAGATTGCAAGCTGTGTCGGGGCTCGGAGTTTTCCGTATCACTACGATCATTAGGCAAAGCTCTCGCTTGTGTAAAAGGCTCTGCCCTGTACAAGTATGGGTATTGAGCACTCTTCGGACAGCGGAGCACGCTACTTGATTTCGGTCTTTGACCACTTTGTGGTGAGCTGATCCACTTACCTTCCACCCTTTGGGGTTGCATCTGCACATTGGTCCTTGAAGGATGGTGGCATTTCTACGGATGTTGAAAACTCGGCCTCTAGCTGAGTCTGACGCAAGCAGTGATTTTTCCCTAAGAGTACTTGATACCAACTAAATTACTTTAAGTATGAAGGATAATAAACTTGCCTGGGCTCATTGCACAATGATCAATGAGTTATTCTTGAATCCATACCGTTGTTCCGATTGACCTTTTTTTGCACGATCATCAGTATTCAGGAGCCGGCCGATGAGGGACGGACATTAACGAGTTGCATTATTTTGGAAGGTCAACAACCTTGTTTTCTCAGGTCCTGCGGCCAAAGGGTTGTATGGCAGAATGGCGACAAGGTGAACGTTTCGATTTTAGCCTGCTTGTAGTGCATGATTGTTGTTACCTGCGCCATGTTATGTTCCACGAACATGAACGTGGAATGACTCAACACACGTACATGTAAGGAAAGGGCCTTGTGTTTAGACTACATATGGCGCTCCAGACTAAATACAGCGCTAGCTAAATGAGCATACCAATTGTATGAATAATGTGACACAATTGATGCATGTCCTCTCTGATATACGTACATTGTACATGTATATTACACTAATCGTAACATGCAGAGAAAGTTCGATCAAACCAAGAAGAGGGTCTTGCATCTTGCTGATGGTGTTGAAGGTCACTATAACGACTACGTTTTTTCTTTGAAAGGGGAAACTCACTGTCCCGAATGAGATGTGATGAACGAGATAGAGCTAGTCTATCGTGGCGTAGAAATGGAGAAAAGAAAACAAATGATATAATTCTGTCAGCCGTGCAATGGAGTGCGTCCAGCCTGTCCAAGAATGTGCTTGACAGTGTCAGTGTCAGTGGCGTTACAGTAAGGCTGGATATACATGTACATGATTGTACATATCTGATGGTAATACTAAGTATGTAGATTTACATGTACATAATGATACTTCAAAGTACCTGTGACTACCGACCACCCCTTGGTGCCAGCAAAAGCGGTCTTTAGTGGCAGGTGGTCTTTGGTTAGAGGTTTTCACCGCACGACCATATATTTATGGATCCCATTATATGATAATGTATGTCAAAATGCAGCTAATACAATTCCTCAGGACTTAGGCAATGCCATTCTTGTTTCAGGTCAAACAACACTTGGAGAGAGAGAGACAGAGAGAGGAGACTAATGTTTTGAAGACATCAAGTTCTGCTGGTACTTTTTATTGTTGTTGTTGACGCACTAGGCATGATACAAGTGGGCCACAATTAACTAATAGCCTGTACAATGTGCATGTAAGTGCATGCTGGAAACGTATTCATTCCTAAACTTAGAGATCCTACTCGAAGTATCAGAGAAAACCAGGGGACAGAAGCATGATTCGCGAACTCGAAAACACTACATGGATTGTAATCGTATGCACGCCAGGAAAAAAACTTGATTCCATAATTATTCTGATAGACGGTGCAGATTGCTTTCTTATCAAACCTCTTGGCACTGCAAGCGGCTTCAAGAGCTGATAAAGTGCACCTGGGGCAAGGAATGCGCTCTGACAGCAAATGACTACATCAGGGTGACTAGTGTGACATGGAATTGTTCAAGTGGTCCATTCTACCCGGCCAGCTTCACTCTAAACAGTGCACTAGTGCTCAATGACGTAACGCCGAAACACAAGGCGGTCAACCAAGCGTTCCCCACATCAGTATTCTTATTGTCATTCACGCATGCCTGCTGGATGAGTAGACGTGGCCTTTGCAATATAGGGATCCACGAATACAGTACCACGTAATAATTATTGTCTTCGCTCACCAATACATGCCTCCCATATTCGCTGCTTGCCACTATCCCAAGTGTAGTGAGCAGAGGACAGCAAAGACAACATCAAAACCACACGGTACTACGTGAAGAGTTTGAAGGTGATGACACTTTCATTTTGTACACATAAATCGGGATTGTAAAGGTCAATATAAATGAACTCTACAACCTTTTAGCTGTATCCCGTGGGAATAACTAGCAAGGTACAAAAAAGCTGAATAGGACTGACAACATTCGGGGTGCGCAAGTGAGCATGCCAGTAAATGGCAGACTTTGTTAACAAGATGGATGGAGACAACAGAATCAGAAATGATTTGTTGAAGCATGGAGAACATGCAGCCGAGTTTGGAGAAGAAGACAAACTGCTGCATGTTATTTGTCGCTTCTAAGGTTGTTAGCTATGGGCAAATCTCTTGAACTTCAAGGAATGATGTGCTAGCATACCCGCTAAACGCATCTCCTCCATTTGGCGATGCAACATGGACGGAAATGTGGTGCCCTCCAGCGGATATGGCAATGCCACTTGATTCCGTAGACTCACACACTCCTGTTAGTACTGCGGGAATGTGGGTATTATCACTAGAACCTTGATACATGATTATATCGATCTTTGCAGGTTTGACGCATTCATTTGCGTTGATTTTAAAGAACCAGCGAGCAATCTTACTTGGAGAGCTAGCTGTACGAACGTTACTGGAATGAGTTAACTTCAAAAAGGTGTCATTGAACATCTTTGTAAATTGTATGGTGGCAATCTGGCCATTATCTCGCTCGTCATTAATCTGATAGAGGCTTTCGTACTTGTAGCCCAATTTGCGATTCCGACACGCTTCTCGCTGCAAGTAAAGAAAGAAAAGGAAAGGAAAGATAAGGGAAAGTACGCAGATGGTGAGCCAAGGACAAAATTTTAGTTCCTGTTGTTGTCGTTGTTCTTTTTATTTGAATTCGCAATACCAAACGGGCAATACGCCCAATTACATGGAAGCGAATAAAAGATTGCTAAACATTTAGGTGAATATTATTTCAAGTGCAAATGCTCTTGTCTCACTTATCACCTTCTCTTTCTCTCCTTTCCTTCATCTTAGCTTCCCTCGTGCATAAATTCATCGCTACATTTATCACAAAGTTGTTACGGTCACCACCTTTGTACCACTTTGTTTTGTTTCATTGGTTCTGGTTGCTTTTAATTCATTTCAAGAGAAATACCGAAAACTCGCTCAAGAATGTCGGAGTCCATAATGATGGTATTGGCGGCGAGGAGCTTGAGATTTGTAGTTACTATGGAACTTGTTGATATTTTGGTCTGCGGTGGGATTGATATTCTCCGTCTTAAACCTTTTCTATGTAGACCAATGTCAAAAACCCGTTAAAAGGCTTCTCTACAGATGAGAAAAGAAAGAAATCCAAACCTGTCCCGCAAGGAGTTGCAACGTTCCTCTGAGTTGGGAAATGCAGGCTAAAACACGTCTACTAGCCTTAATCAAATAGATTATCAATGTGAACTTACCCAGAAAAACAAGTCCCTCATCGCATGCTTCATATCTTCGATCTCCTTTGCATGGTTTGCAAGTGTATCGTTAGCCGCTTGATTAACTTGCATTTGAGCTTGCTGCGAGTGATAATTCATAGTCAGAGCGAAGGCAAACTGGCGTAGCTCGGAAAGAATAGTGTCCATCCGTTTGTCTCTTAGCTTGGATCCGTGTTCCAAACCTTTTATATTCTTCTTCAGCAGCTGCATCGCCAGGCAGAGCTCTGTGTCAGTGGACGCACTGCACAGATCAGCTGGACAGCACACGGGTAAAATAGGCAATACAAATATTACACAGCAATGAATCAAACAAGTCTCTTTCCGCTGTAACTCCGAGTTTCGTGTGAAAACATTTCATCAGACAGCATATGACCAAGACTTACAATCACTAGAATATAATTATATGGAGGGTCTTGAGAGAAGAAAGCAGAGGTGATGGAGGTACATTTCAATAGCGCGAGGAAAACGGGTGACAAAATCTGCGTGATTATAACAGGAAAACGATGTTGAGAGTACTAGTATAGAGTATAGCCTAGGTAGAGAAACAGCGCGATTCTCTGGCAACACATCAGTACAGATTTGTGCTGCATTGTTACACATCACATTGTGACCTAGGGTGGTAAAATTGGTGATGGGGATTGTGTGTAGTGGGAAACACTAACGCCTGGCAAGGGGGTGACTACCACACCCACTAAGGCATCGGAAAACCGGCGACACAGGGCCTGCTCTAGACATTCAACACAGCCCGGTCAGAGTGTACCTGGTGCATGCAGGCCAGCCGGGTCAGATCATCCGGCAGAAAAACAACTAAAAAGCCTGCTCAAAACGCAGGAAAACAGAAAGGCGAATTTATTACCGGAAATCGTTTAGAGAACAACAAGGCGAACTATCAAAGTCTGCAAATGTAGAAGGTAAACGACATTACGTGACGAATGCAAAGCAGTTCCATTGGATTCTGATTTAACAATTTGAAAAATTGGAATTCTGTTTTCTAATTAGTGCTAGTAGCAGGACGAACATGTTCACATAATAGAGCACTAGGGGGTGCCTGCAGCACCCAGGAGCAGAGCAGCATGCCGATAATTCGAAGCAGTGAGTTCTTACCTTTCAACCACGCATCGCGAGCAAATCCACCGCCGCTCGTGTTCCCGGAACACGAGCGGCGGTGGATTTCCAAAGTTTTTTTTAAATTTCGGCCAGTCTTGCACAAAGCACATGACATGGATAGACTGGCATGCTCGTATTCCAGCCAGGGTCGACCTTTCTTCCAAGAGTCTTGGAAAGCGTGAGTTCTTTTTCTCTTCGCTGCGAGCTCCATCGTCCAAATCACCAGTCGGATGAATGCAACTGTGTCAAAAGCTATAGCCAAAGTAATTAGATACGCTTTTGACTGCATGACTGCCCCATCGACTTTGAATGTCCTGGCTTCCTGCTCGCCGCTGGCCAGATCGCGCTGGAACCAGTTGACCCCAGTTGACCCTAGCCGAGTCTGTCGCTTGTAGACTGTAGTGTGTACGGTTGCGCTACAGATGGGGTCCGCGAGTCGGGAAATACCGGTATTTTAGGAATCCATTGTCAGTTTGAGACATTTTTCAGCCGGGTCAGACTGGACCCGGTGTTATCTATTCAGCCAGGTCGTGCAGTTCCCCAGCCGGGCGCGTGACCCGGCTGACCCGGCTCTCCAGCAGGCCCTGCGACAGAAGCCAAGACCCGCCAAAGCGCGTGAGCCATGAGTCCTGGGGTGTGCTCACCATTCCCGCGCCCCGCGGAACCCGGCCCCGACCGCCACCTCCCCGACCCCAACGGGCAAAGCAGCCACCCCCAGCCTGGCGTGGCTCATGTATTTGTCGTTCATCACGTTACCCTGCTGAGTTGAAACTTGTTGACATGACGGCATTTGCAGATTAACTCGCTCCTCTTATTCAGGCGAGTGCTCCTGTTGGCGGTGATGATGCGGAATTTCTCCGTCACGCATAGGTTGTACCGTTTGCTGACGTTGCTGTACCCTTTGGCTTGCTCAGCAATCCTCCACTTGATGTTGAACGGTGCGTTCGTCTCTTTTAGCCGCCATACATGCTTGGACAGCTCCGTTGTGTTCCTCCTTGACTAGATGTTCATGTCCGACTTGTGGTTATAGTGTCGCTTCTTAAATGGTGGCTCAGTTGATCCAATGAACACTTTCTGTTCGTTTTCTTTCCCCATGTGCGCTTCATAAATGACCTCTTGCGCTTGGAATCGGCCGTCCAGCGGTCACTCTGGTTGAGCTCGGCAGTTACACGGCTCAAGTAGCATCTTGTTATGCTCATTTATCACTGCGGTTACGTTGGGCATACAACTGTACCTAACCTTGACGTTATTTTTTGTTGAAGATATTTTGCAGCATCTAATTCGCAGGGAAGTGCTTCTGCACCAATCGCAAGAATGTCGCCGTCACATACGTGCTTACATTCTTGCTGAAAGGCGGGTTGAACCATATCACTTTCCTCCTACGGTTCTTTCTGGTCCTTCCTGCAGCACGTGTCGCCTTCTCCTGGTATTCAATCGTTGAAGCGAATCCACTAGATTTCAGTGCGTTCTGGTATAACGGCGCCACCTCGTCGAACGTCTGCTGATCGGCCGATATACCTCCGCTCAATCGCCTTATGGAGGTTTCTCAGGAACATTGGGGGTGGTTCGATCTCTTGCTAAAATACAGTGGCGTGTTGTTCGGTTTTCGGAATGCCTTGTACTTTAAGTAGATATACATTTGGTTTGTCGGGTTGAACTCCCGGCAGCTCTCGCTCTTGCGAGAGACTTATTATTATCATTATTATTATTATTATTACGCACACACTCAAGGCCAATGCCAATCAAGGAGGAGGTGAGGGGGATTATAGCCAGCCATGGCAAAAGAAAGAAGAAAAGAAGAAGAAAGAAAAACAAGTGTAAATCAGAGCAACAACAATAAAAGAAAAGATTGGGCTGCAAATCAAGTTGTATTATTAGGTTTAAACGTTTATGGGAAATGGTCCGAGAGATCACGAACAAAGGCAGAAATGTTTTCAGAAGATTGCATTTTTTGGGGAAGCGAGTCCCAGAGACAATAGCTAATGAAAACAGGCCAGCGACTCATTGAGTTATTTCTTGAAATAGGGAATCTTAGTTTATTACGACTTGACGAAGAAGAGTTAAACCAGTTAAGCGCATTTTGAATATGCATTGGGGCCTTCAGCAGTTTAATCTGATGGATACATCTACAGCAGAGTCTGTTAATTATGGCTTGTAAAGGACAGGTTTTGCATTGGGAATACAGAATTGTTAATGGGGTGTCAAGTGGGAAGCAAAATATCGCTCTCAAAATCCTGCGATGCATTAGTTCAAGCTGCGCAAGCATTCCTGCTGCAGCACTGCACCACAGAATGCTACAGTATAACATTATGGGTAAGATATAGGAGGCGTAGAAAGCCCGACGACTGACCAGTGGTAAAAGGCTCATGTGGCTGTATAGAACACCAACAGCCGACCTTTTTCGGCGCTCGAGATACTCCAGATTGTGGGACCAACTCATGCCTGAGTCAAAGATGACTCCAAGGTGTTTGTGGTGGCTGACAATTGGGATGGGCGTCCGGTCGTCAGGGAAGTGGAATAGGTACTGGTCGATGCAGGAAAGATCGGAACGCGGATGAGGTGGAATGGACAATATGACAGTCTTTCCAGCATTAGGTCGAAGTTTCCAGAGACGCATCCATTCAACCACTGAGCGAATTTCCGACTGCAAAGAGTTACACGCCATGGGCAGGGAAAGTTCAGATGCCACAAGAGTAGTATCATCGGCGTACAGGAAGGTATTTGGAAAGCACGTTAAGTCATTGAACCTAACATTTACATAGAGCAAGAAGAGAAGAGGAAAAGGTATTGAGCCCTGTGGCACACCGGAACAGACTTCAAGCGGTTGGGACAGCGAACCTGAAACCCTGACCTGTTGGACCCGGCAGGATAGGTAGGTTTCGAGCCACCGCAGAACATTGCCCCCAACTTTAGTTCCTTGACAATGTTTCCAGACAGACGAGTTACTACTAGATGAGGTACTTGAGTTACTTGAATAAACCGAAGGCAACCATATTTACGGAGCGCAGTAAAAATGACTCCTCCCTCAGAGCAGGAACGTTCAACGCTCGTTCCCGAAAAAGGCACATCACCGAAATTACAATAATACAAGATTTCGAACAATACAGGCTTGACCTCCTCGGACTGACGGAGACCTGGCTGAACGGAGCCGGTGTAGTACGACAACGGACATGTTCTGTATCGTTCGGGTGGCTCGTCGTCCAGAGCTGGAGTTGGCCTTCTCATCAACAAGAAACTAATAGATAATGTGGAGTCGTACAAATTTACCTCCGAACGGATGATATCAGTTCGTCTCCGAAATGGACCTCGACGTGACAGCAACTCCCTCACGGTGGTCTGCTGCTACGCTCCGACGCTGCAACGCTCGACATCACATCCTCAGGAAGCAGATGACTTCTACTCCGCACTACGAAGTATTGCCCAGGAGGTAATTAGAAGAGATGATTTTATGATATTGGGAGACCTTAATGCAAAAGTAGGGAGCGCCCGACCTGCTTCAGGAGGCGCAGTGGGATGTTTCTCCAAGCACGAATCAAGCAACGCGAACGGTGAGAGACTGACTGAGCTGTGTGAAGAGCAAAATCTCATTTTATTCAACACTATGTTCAAGCATCGTATGCAGCATCGTTCCACATGGTTCTTGGATGGGCTCGTACACAGGGATGGCCAACCTGTCCAAAACATGATTGATTTTGTGATTATGCGAAGATCAAACACAGTGAGCGTTTTGAATGCCAGATCATACGGTGGATTCACAACAAGATCCGATCACCATCCGTTTATTGCAGATTTTCGACTTACATTCTGGCGGTGTACAACATATAAAGCAACCAACGACCGCTGTTTCATCAAGTACAACGAACCCACACAAGACTCTGCTGAAAGCTTCAAAAATGCCATAGCAAGCACGTTGCCAGACGTAAACACCTGAAGATATTTCCACGCTAGACCAAACCTGGGGGAGATTTGTGTTATCTACCCATGCAGCAGCGGAAAAGGCATTTGGAAGAAAGAAGCCGCAGAAGAGGATTGCTAGAAGTACGAGTCCTGCTGTTATTGAGCTATCAACTAAAAAAACGAAATCCACAGCCGGATACATATGGAGAAAGATCCAAAAAAGCGGAAAGAAAAAAGGCTGCGTTTACAC